GGCTCTTCTTGGTAACATACTGAAAGTATGTGAGTTGAGGTCTCACCATTCTTGCTTTTAAGTAGCACTCTGGCTTCATTCTTCCAAGACAAATTTGCTTACTTTTCTGGAATCCCATGTATATTCACTATTCTTCACCAACACCACCGTTCAAAGCCATTAATTTCCTTTTTATCTTCTAGATCATTTCCCAACTTTCACATAGATAGAAAGCAATCAAAAATGTCATGGTTCAGGTCAGCTACAGTTAGTCTTTAAACTGACTCCATTCCTCTTTAGTATTTTCAAGAGCTTGAGAGCAGATTTGCCTAATGCATCATGTCATTTGATTTCTTGACTATTGCTTCCTTGGAAGTAAATTGTGGATATGAGTAAAATTGTAACAAAAAAGAGACATACAAATGAAAACTAAAGAAGGCCCTAGAACAATTGTTATTGGTAGAGGTAAAGGCTTTTTCCCCCCCACCCTGTAGAGCACAATTATCATGGTTTGATGGCATGATGTGTAAAGTGAAAACAAAAAGGTTTTCAGTTTGAATCTACTAACTGCTCCTCAGTGAAAAGATAGGCAGTCTTTTCCCTAAAGATTTACATCCTTGGAAGCCAATGCAGAATCGCTATGAGTTAGAATTGACTTGAAAACATGGTTTGGTTAGTTTGTTGATATATTTTTGTGGGAGAGCCTGTTTTATATTCACAATTAATATAGGAGGTAGGGGCCATTGCTATTGACATGCAGTTAACCATCCTACAGTGCTCAGAATAGCCTTCCAGAGCCAACTCTTTCATCATGATGATGTTAAAAATCCTAGTCAAGATTAACACTGAAAGGTCAAAAAGACCTTTTTCCTTTTTCAAAATATTTCTTTCTAATGAACATCCAAGATATTTGGATAAAGGTTTCTCCCTTGGATATTTAAATCCTAATGTTTTCTTTTCCAGAAGAAATTTTCAAAAGATATTTAAGGTCTCCTATATGCTGAAATCCCAGCAAGCACATACAATTTTACACAACTATCATGATTCAATATTCTTAACAATCTCATTTTACAACTAAAAGGAAAGTAAAAACTATACTCATGATTATAAAACTGGCAATCTATTTACAAATAAAAATAAAGAATCTAAAGTCTACATAAATGACAAAGTTTGAGCTGCTCACTGCTATTTTCAGTGTTTAGACTGTGCCTATAACAGAATAGGTATTTAATAATAATTGACATCAACTGACTCTCAAAGGTCCTTTCTTCTGTCCTTTATTTATTATTCAAGCATCAAGTATCTTTCCTTATATAAAATTATTTGGAGACTTATTATTCCATACATTGTTCAAGTGACTTGTCTCACAACATTTTACGTCAGCATGAGAGATAGGAAGTAATTTTTTGCTCTATTGGTTGTTGTTGCTATTGTTGATGATTGCCTTCAAGCATGATTCATAGTGACCCTATGAATAAAAGGCCTGAAGCCCCTCTACAACTATCGACATTTATCAAAGTTCATAGAGTTTCTAGAGCATATTATTTAGGAAGTGGATGTCACTCCTGCATCCAAATCTGTCATAGTATGTTATTGCTTTTATGTGCCATTGAGTTGCCTGAGATGTATATTTATTAGATAGACAAGAGATTGAGGTTATTAACAATTACAGCTACCCTGTGTATAGCAGCTCTGAACCCTTCCCTGTCCTGAACCAATCTCACTAATTCCGACACAGCAACCCTCATCACACCAGTTACTGTATCAATCCATCTTATCCAGGGTCTCCCTCTCCTGCACTATCCATCCACCCTTCTAAGCATGATGTCTTTCTCCAAGGACTGATCTCTCCTGGCCATGTGTCCAAAGTAAGTGAAGCAGAGCTTCAAAATACTAGCCTCCAAGGAGAGACTTGGATTCATCCTCTACAAAACAGACTGATTTGTTTTCTTGGCAGTCAATGGTATGTTTGAGACTCTTCTCTAGAACCATCACTCGAAGGCATCTATTCTTCTTCTGTCATCCGTAGTCATTGTCCAACTCTCTGAAGCATAACAAGTAATTGAGAATACCATGGCCTTGATTAGGTTCACCTTTGTATTTAAATTGACATTGTTGCTCTTCAGAACTCCATAGAGGTCCATGATAGCAGATTTCCCCAATGCAATTTGTCTTTTGATTTCCTGACTGCTGGTTGGCAGCACTATATTAGATGGAGAAGAGATTGAGGTTATTAACAATTTACAGTTTGCTCGGATCCACAATCTATCTTGGTAGTATGAGAATCTATGAAAAGGAAACCATGACCCAGTTAGCTGTTCTGCACATATTTGTCCTTCTAGAGTTGCATATACTCCAATACTGTTGTGATTGTTATGTTCCATTCTTCTTTCATTCTTAGTCATTGTCCAGTTCTCTGATGCATAGCAAGTAATTCTGATGGAAATGACTCAGTTGGTTTTGAGGTGCTTTTTTTAAATTCTTTCTAAGACACACACAGAGAAAAATAAAGCTTAATCAAAAATCTAAGATAGAAAATTTAAAATAAATGGGAAAATAAAATGTTAAGATGAAAAGTATAGCATGAGAAACAATAATAATAGCTTATCTTTTTTTCCAAAAGCTTTATGTGTTGACTCTTCTCATCTTTATCACAGAATTGTAATGTGGGTACTTTTGTTAGCCCCATTTTTCTGATGAGGGAGCTGAATCATAGAGATATGAATGATAGGCCCAAGTTTACATAGCTAATAAGTGCTGGAACTAAGATTTTATTTCAGTTAGTTTGGCTTAGAACATGAACATTGACTGCTTGCCAAACTTGATGACATCATTTTTCTGACCTTCAAGGCATGCAAGCCAAAAATCTTCCAAGTGCTAAATTCTTGGAAATGTTATTGGGTGAGTCTTAATATGAGCAAATAGTATTATGTATGCAATAACATCACACACACAAAAATTCATGTCATTATTTATTGTTCTGCACATGATCATAATGTGTTCTTCAAAATAAAACTTTTCAATAAACTTTCAATAAAAGTTTAAAGGAGTTTAAACAGTAACTTAGCAAACATTGCTAATATGATTTGAAACCCAATAAATTGCATTGAAGATTTGGTGTGAATTTATTTACTTCATAGCATTTGTAGCAGTCTGCAGTTCTCTTATGTATTTTCTTGCCCATATCACCAGCCTCCCCTGGCTAGTGTGAGAGCAAGAACTTTATCTTCTTTTTCATCTGTATCCTTTCAATGCTTAGCATAGATTGGGTATGGCAGGTGCTAAAAAAAATATTTCCTCATGACTAGAGACAATGGTGATTCAGTGACAAAGTTCTCCATGTGGAGACCAGGTTCATCTCCTGGCCTATGCACTGCAGGAGCTGCCACCACACATCTGCCGGCTTGGGAGTTGCTATGATGCTGAACTGGTTTCAGGTTCAGCAGAGCTTCTAAGAGTAATTAGGTCAACTGCTTGAGTAACAATAACAGCCAGTGAAGCTCTGCAAAACCATTCACAAAGGTTTGATAGCTCTGCGTGTGCTTGGAGTTACCATGAGTCAGGGGTTGACCAGATAGCAACTCACCACAAAAGCAAATACTTGAATCAATGAACAGTTAAAGGCAAAAATTCATTTCTGAGAACATAGCTTCAGTATTCTTAAAGTACATGTAATGGCTGTGGAAAGTTATTACTTCGTAAGGAGTTAGTGGTAGGGCTGTTTTGACTAAAGTTGAGGAAGCATGAATTTCACTCTTTCATTTATTTCCCCCTCTTCTTTATAAGCTCTACTATCAAGCCCAGCTCTCTGGAGGTTGTTTTGTTTTGTTTGGATTATGGGTTTGTTTTGTTTTCTCTTTTTCCTTAATTCCTGTCTTAACTTGCAGCTCGGGACTTGCTGCAGTCAACAGTGGACAGAAAGGAAAATGCTGAAGTGCAGGACTAGTTCAAGAATTCTCCTGTTGTTTACAGTCACCAGCATTTGACTTAAGCTTAAAAACAAAAATACTTCATGTTGCATTTCCAGAGCACGTGATACTTTTCATTAGGATTTTTAGGCTACATCCAGTTTCTCACTGTCAAAGTTTCACTTTCCCTATGAAACAGGTATGTTAATTGGGCAACCTAAACCAACGATTGTGCCCAAAGCTTGTAGAAAAGCCAGTGGTTCATAGTCTCATTTGTTCTGTCTGCTTTGCCCTTAACTACTGTAGTGTTTCAACCCCACGAATAGCATATGAACAAAGGGAAGACATCAACCCATTTCAAGCTCAAGGAAGGGAGAATAGCTTATTTACTTAATGATTGTGAAGACCAAGGACAGTTGGTTCAAGTGAAACTAGAAATTATTTGCTCAGATGTTTTATCTAAAGAAAAATTGCAAAAGAAATAATAATTACATCAGAAATGTTTTAAAAGATTGAAGACCATTCTACATTTTGGTCTCCCAGGTTGTGAGAACACGCCTACCTAGCCTTATCATTTACATTCTCATGACACTGAATTTCTTTTCTTTCTTCCATACAGAGCAGTGCTGTGTCACACTTCTAGTCGGTGCTCATACTCTTTGCCCTGTCTCAATGCCCTAATCTAACCTTTCTCGCTGCCTTCCTGCTTCAGCTCATAGGTCATCACCCCCAAGAGCACGCCCCAAATTCTCAGATCCTGCAAATCCTCTGTATCCCTTTGGTTTTGGACTCTCCATATTAAATTTAATGATCTATATGTGTCTACTTCTTTCATTAAACAATAGGTAATTTCTTTTACTTTTCCTCACAATTCCTAGCATAGGCTTGGGCATTTAAAGTAAGTTTAATAAATATTGATTGAAATAAAACGTGTCTTCAAAAAGGGTGCACTCATTCAACCAACCAATCTTCTACCCTCAGAACTCCTGGAAGCACCAGAAACATTTTCAATGTCTTTGCCTTTCAGAGCTACTAAGAATGAAATTGTTGGTTATTTTTCTTTATTTCTAGGAAAACTCTTTCTGAGCGCTAAAGAAGATAAAGGAAGGAAGCATGTCTATGATTTCAGCTTTCTATAGTGGCAAGTCCATTCTCATCACGGGGGCCACAGGCTTCATGGGCAAAGTGTTGATGGAGAAGCTGTTACGCACCAGCCCAAATCTGAAAACCATTTACATCCTTGTAAGACCCAAGGCTGGCCAGACCCTGCAGGAGAGGGTGTCACAGATCTTAAACAGTAAGGTAGGATTATGGGGAGGGCCTTGTATGATGGGCAATGTCTTGGAGCAAGATATTTACTACAATGTCCCCTTGTAGTCCCTAATTGCAAGTAGCAGGTAGAATGTAATAACTTTAAAAACAAAAAATAAACAAAAAAAACCCCTCACAATACCTAGGGGAGAAAAACTAAGATATCAACTTTAAACTATGCCCATTGGAATCTGTGGTATTGCCACTTAAGAGGTAAAAAAGTACTTAAACTCTGTGTACAGAGTGTGAGAGAAGTATGTATATTCTAAAAATTATTATGTAACACCCACAATAGTAAAATTCCCAGAGTGGAAACTCCAAACTTGAAGTTTGTCACAAATTAAATTATTCTCTGATTTTCACTCAGATTTAAAAGATGTCTGCCCCAAATCTTTGGGTACTCATCTATTATATTTTACTCCATTGTATTTGGAGTAGAGAAATTGCTAATAATACTTTCAGTTGCCTAAACTCCACAATATTTACCTATTATGTATTCTACCAGTGGAAAGTTGATATTCATATTACTATATGATTCCGTACATCCCTCTAAGAGTAAAAGCTTTGGAAATCAAATAGTATTCCTGTGAATTACCATTTTGTTAATATTGAACTCTATTAGTGTTGCTATGTGCCACTGAGTCTGCTATGACTCACAGCAAGCATATAAACCACAGACAGAGACTTTGCTCTATCCTGTGCCATCCTCACAATATTCACCATGATCAAGTTCATTATTGCAGTCATTGTGTCAATCATTATCATTCAGTGTCCTCTTGTTTTTTGCTGACCCTCCACCTACCTCAGCATGATATCTTTTCCCAAGAACTGGCCCCTTTTGACGACATAGCCAAATGATGTTTGACTAGATTTTACTATTCTTGCATCTGAGGAGCACTCGGATGGCATTTTCTCCATGATAAGACATGTTTGTGCTTTTGATAGTTCATGGGATGTGCTTGTGGCAGTTCACGGGATTTTCAGTACGGTTTCCCAGCACTCTAATTCTAAGACATCATGCTCTGGTGGCCTAGTGGGTATGGAATTGAACTGTCAACCCAAAGGCCAGCAGTTCAAATCTACTAGCTGCTTTATGGGAGAAAAGTGAGCTATGTCTCCTGTGTGATTTACAGCTTCTGAGTATCAACTGAAAGTTTGTTCAACTCAAGTTCAATAAGAGAATAAGAGGGAAGTACAGGTGTTCAAAATGCTTGTTGAGGGAGCCCTGGTGCCCTAGTGGGTAGAAAGTTATGTTGTTGTTGAGTACCATTGAGTTGCCCTCTGGAGGGTTTTCAGAAGCAGTTAACCACACAGGAGGAGATTGCCCATCCTTCTCTCATGGAGCAGGTAGTGGATTTGAACTGAATGCATTCTGGATAGCAGTGCAGCTTCTTGCCACTAGGCCACCAGAGCTAACAGTAAGTTTATTTTTTCAACAAATATTTATTAAGGATCTACTATGTATTGAGGAGGCATTAAAAAAAAAGATGCAAAGAATACACAGAGTCACTGATACATAAGGAATTGGCTGACACAGAAGAATTTCATGACACAACTTATGATCAAGAAGCAATGGTGGTGCTCACTTCAGCAGCACATATACCAAAATTAAAATGATACAATAGAAGATTAGCATGGCCCCTAAGCAAAGACGACACACAAATTCATTAAGTGCTCCATTTTAAGAATTTTTTTAAAGGAAAGAAATAGGAAATGGTGATGAAGGAGGAAGTTCAGGCTACTTTGAAGAACTTGGCAAAAATAAAGCCCCAGGAATTGATGGAATACCAGTTGACATATTTCAACAAACAGATGCTTCCCTGGATGTGCTCACCAGGTTGTGCCAAGAAGTCTAGCAGACAACTACTTGGCCAAGTGACTGGAAGAAATCCATATTTATTCCTATTTCTAAAAAAAGATGATCAGAGTATAGAAATTCTCAAATATCACAAATTTTATACACAAGCAAAACCCTGCTGAAGATTATTTAAAAAACACTGGAACAGTACATCAACAAAGAACTTCCAGAAGTGCAAGCTGTGTTTAGAAGAGGCTTTGGCAGTAGGAACATTATATATGCAATGTCAGATGGATCTTAGTTGAAAGCAAAGAGTACCAGAGGAGTGTCTATCCCTATGTCTACCTCAATTGACCATGTTTCATTGACTATGTATGCAAAGGTGTTTGACTGTGTGGATCACAACAAATTGTAGCTAATATTAAGAAGAATGAGAACTCCTGGTTGTGCTCGTGAGAAAGCTCTATTTGGACCAGGAATAAGTAATCAGAACAGAACAAGAAAACACTGCATTGTTCAAAATCAGGAAAAGAGTGAATCAGGCATACATCCTGTCTTCATATATTTTCAATGTATATGCAGAACAGATCATTTTAGCAGCTAGACTTTATGAGGAGGAGTGTGGCATCAGGATTGGAAGAAGATGCTTCAATTACCTGTGTTATTCTGATGATACAACATTGCTTGCCCAAACTGAGAAGGACCTGAAGCATTTACTGCAGAAGGTCAAGGACTGCAGTCTTCAATATGGATTGAAGCTCAGCATCAAGAAGACAAAGATTCTTACCATTAGGCCAATTGGCAGCACTGTGATTGAAGGAGAAAAGATTAAGATTGTTAACAATTTCAGCTTGCTCAGTTCCACAATCAACATTCTTGGCACCAGCAGTCAGGAAATCAAAAAAACAAATTGTACTGGAAAAATCTGCTGTCAAGGACCTCTCCAGAGTGCTGAAGAGCAACAATGTCAGTCTAGAGACTAAGATGTGCCTGATCCAGGCCCTGATCTTCACAATCACTTGCTACGCATTAGAGAGCTGGACAATGACTAAATATGGCAGAAAAAGAATCAATGCCTTTGAGTTGTGGTTCTTTAGAAGAGTCCTGCACAATTCCATAGACTGCAAAGAAAACAAACAAATTTGTCCTGGAGAAGGTAAAACCAAGTTGCTCCTCGAAAGCAAGAGTTTGGAAGTTCCTTCTGACATACTTTTGTCATGTTGCCAGGAAGGACTAGTCATTGGAGAAGGACACCATGCTTGGAAGGATGGAGTTACAGCACATGAGAAGAAGACCCTAGATAAGATGGATTGACAAAGTAACTGTTAATAAGGATTCTGTGTGTTTAATGGGCAGAGTGAGAAAGGCTCAGGATAGGACAAGTTTTAGAACTACTATGCATAAAGTTACTATGAGTTGCAGGCAACTTGCTGATACATAGCAACAACAACATGTGTTAAGGAGGGAGTTCTGGTAGACTAATGATAAGAAGTTGCACTGCCAACCCAAAGGCATGCAGTTCAGATCCATTTGTTGCTGTGCCAGAGAAAGAATTTCAATCTCCTCCAGTGTGATTTACTGCCTATGAAAATCCATAAAAACTCAGCTATGAGTCTGTTCCAATCTTATGGCACACAACAACAATAAGTGGTCTACTTGACATGGAGTTGTACTGGTAACCCACTGGCAGGCAATTCAAACCCATCACTTCTGAAGGAGAAAGATGGGCAGTGTCCCCCTGTGCAATTTACAGCCTCTGAAAACCTGTTGGAGGATGAGCTATGAGTCAGTCCCAGCTTGCCAGTATATAATTACAACTATGTGCTAAACAGTACAATGCTTGTAACACATGACAATGAAAGAATCTTTGCTTTGAAAGTTAGATGGGAGACAATTTGGTAGTAAATACGTTGATTTTGACAAATTGAAAACATTTAATAAGTTGGTGTATTATTTGTCAAACACAGATGGCTTCTAGTCTCACCAGTTCTTAAATTAGGAGACCATAAGAGCAAACAGTTACTAGGATCTGGAAGATTCTATGAGTATATATCCTTAAGCAATAATCTTGTATTAGAAAGTTTGCTGGGAGGGCTCTCTGGTGGCCTAGTGGCAAGAAACTGCACTGCAATCCCAGAGGTATGCCGTTCTAATCCACCAGATATTCTGCTGGAGAAGGAGGGGCAATCTCCTCCTGTGCCAGTCAGATCCAATTTGTAGTACACGCACAAAAAATAATTTTTTTAAAAAAAAGAAAGTTTGCTTGGATGTCCCACTGAAATAACTGAAACTGGACCTTCCTTTCTCTCCTCAAATCTTAAAAATTATCAGGTAAGGCAGGATGAACCAAATGACAACATTTACCAGGCTTGGAGCCCAGGCTGTCTGAAAATGTATCAAACAATAAAGAACTTGGGGTTATTTTTTTTTTTTTGTCATCTCACTCTTCTTTGAGCACAGAGGCTTGCAAATCTTGGTTACATTTAAAGGGGGAAAATATAAACATCAAATTTAAATGTTAATAGTAATATAAAGCTAAAACCAATAAATGACAACATAAGCAATGACACTTCCAAGTAAGTAAGGAGGCAATAAAAATTATACTTTTAAAATATCAAGTGGCACATGAAAATGTTTGTTATATGTTTTATTTCCAAAAAAAATACCACAGAAAGCCGTATATATTCTCTATCCTCTCAATTAATAACACTAAGTGCTAATTTGATCATGCATTGATTTTCCTGGAAGCATTTTCAAATTTATTCAATTATAATTAGGATGTTTTCCTTTCGTGATGAAGGGTAAAGTACTCTTTTTAATAGTGAAAAAATTAAGAAGAGTAATCTGCTTTGTGAATGATAGTGATATTCACTGGACTTCTTATGCTTATGGAGATTGTCCTGTCCCTAACAACATTGTATTTCAAGAAGGATCTAGAAATGACTTTTTTAACAATGAAAGCAACCCCATTTTTCCTCACCTTTTCATCTCTGGCATAAGAAAATGAAGATTCTCACAACTGGGCTGATTGACATTGTTGTGACAGATGGTGAAGAAGAGATAGAGATTGTTAACAGCTTTAAGTTGCTTCACTCCATAATCAACAATCTTGGTACCAGCAGCCAGGAAATCAAAAGATTTGTTAACTTAGAACATTTGAAGATGTTACCCTTAATTTAAATTTCATGGCAAA